CTTTATTGTTCTCTTGGTGTCTCTTCGGGTTAGTCTGTACCTAATGTAATCCTTTTCGTCTTTTGTTTTTAACCATATTTGAAACATCTTCTTTTTATTTGACACTGCTTCTTTGACTTCTTCATTCCACCAAGCGGTACCCTTTTTCTTGCCTTTGCCCGTCTTTCTGGTACCACACTTGTCTTTTAATATCTTCGTGATGGTTGATTTATAATAATCCCATTCTTCTTCAATTCCTACTGGTTCCTTGGCAATATCTGCAAAAGCCTTTGTTATTTCTAGTTCAAATTCATGTTTGATATTCTCTTCCTCTAATTTCTTAGTGTTGATGATTTCTTCACGTTTTCTGTTTATGTAGACTGTTTCTACTTGAGTTGCATATGTTCATAACTACTGGGCGATGGTCTGAATCCAGTCCCGCATTTGGAACAGCTTTTGAGTCTCTTACCTTCCTCTTCTGCCGTTGTCTGACTAGTATAAAATCAATTTGTGACGCTTGATCTAAGTTGTTCCACTTGTACCACGTTTTAACCTGACTTTGGCGATGTTGGTAGAATGTGTTGGTAATGTAGAGATCTTGTTCAGCACACAAGTTTAGCAGGTGTTCTCCATTTCTATTGCAATCTGTGGTTGTGTCGCTAAATGGGCCAAGGTATCTCTCCCATGGTGATCTTCTTTTACCTACCCTACCATTAAAATCTCCCATTACTATGATGTCCTCTTTCTCTTTAACATTGTTGATGGTGTCCGTAAGTCTCTCGTAAAAGTCTTCTTTTTCTTCTTCAGAATAACTGTCATTGCAAGGTGCATATATCTGAATAATCGTTGTAGTTTTACTTCCTTCTGTCAACTTGATTAAAATAATTCTTTCTGATATATAAATTCTGTTCCTGTTATTAATTTTGCTGTCTCGGGATGAAGTATAAATCCGACACCATGTTTTGCCCTATCTTTAGTGGGTACTCCGCTCCATAATAAAACATAATTTTTCATGTATTTCTTTTGTATTATATCCTTTCTTTCTTGTATCCGCAAGACCCATGACGTGTATATTTTTTCTTTTCATGAAATCCACTATTTGTGGCTCTTTGTTGGCAATACCACATATGTTCCATGTGCCTATGTAAGTCGTTTTTTTTCTGTCTCGTCGTCCTTTAACGTTTCCAGTCCATTTTCCGTTTGGGGCTATCCGTTTATATATCTCCTTTCTAATTTTCGTAGCAATAAAAAATCCACTGCCGGCTTGCTAGGCCAGTCGCAGTTTAAGGGAAAATCTGACCAGATGGACCCCATCCCATCTGGCGAGCCAGAGCCTCGTTCGCCTGTGGCCTCACGGCCACAGTTTCCCGGTCTGCACCACTGGGAGGAGAGGTTGACTTATGTGTACTGTGGGTCATCGGCAGGCTACTAATTTTCACTTTTCACCTCTCCTAAGAGAAGCTAGCCGACCCCAACCCTGCTGGATGTAGAGCCAGGCACAGTCCACATCTTGCAGACCTGCATATCTCTATGCCACTCAAAAATAACAGTGTTTACTACATTTATGTAAGTCACTGTAGAAAATAACATAGTCCGTTGTCTTGATTTCTTACAACTCTTTCAAAAGTAAATATCCCTTTTTTTTAAACATCTACCTTTTTTGTTTCCGTCTCACCTTTGGGTCTTGTTTTGCTTTTTTTACCTTAATGAAAAGTGTGTTTTGTTGTTGTTGTTGTTGTTGTTGACAAAATGACTTTTGAATTAATATAGAATCCTGCACTTTATTCTCTTTAGTTATGCAGGTTCGTGTAAAACTCTTCCTCAATTGATTCTTCCACATAATTTACCTATACCTAACACTAAAACAGAGACGTATAGTCATATCTTAGTCGTCTTCTTGTGGGATGCAATTGTTCGTTTTTTGAATCCGCACTCTGGCTTTTGCCTACGGCCCTGAATACATCCGGGCCACAAATGTGGCCATAATGGCTGAAAGGGGTTTCTGGGACCTCTCCACGGGTGATCCTCATCCGCAAGGTGACACTTTGTGTCACAGGATTTTTACCGCTTGCGTGGTGTCCTGGTGGGGTAAAACAAGCAAGCAAGCACTGGAACATCTTCGCTAGTATTTTACTTGTGTTTTTCTTATTCACCAAATACCACGTTGTTGCAAAAACATACACATCCAGGAGACTTGAAGGTTCAGGTTACCATCCCCTCATGTCAATGTAGTAGTGACTGTCCGATTAACTCGATACAGCAAACATCTGGTACCCTGATAACAGTACAGTTAACAGATGGTTATCTCTTACAAAATGTCAACCCCAGTGTTTGTGCTGGATTAGACAATATTACCGACTATTATATTCCCCGACCTTTGGTCTGATGGTAATTCACGAGTTATTATTTGTTTTAGTGACAATCTATAAAACCCCGCACTTGATGATTGAAATCACTGCAGCTTTAGATTCAACTTGCGAATCGAGAGAAACTAGTTCATCTTGGCTGTAACATTATGGGAAAACTGGCAACCTACGTCATTCTGTTGGCAGCTCTTGCTATTGCGTGTAAGTAACTTTGTATTAGTATTGTCAAGTCCCCTAACATTGTTCCTAGTATACGCATGGAAATTTAGTTAGTTTATTAGTTATCTAGTTAATTAGTCAGTTAGTTGTGTAGTTAGTTAGTTAGCTAGCTAGCTAGCTAGTTAGTTAGTTAGTTAGTTAGTTAGTTAGTTATGGGGACGGGACACTTTTGGAAACACAGACCCATTTAACTCACATTACACAGGGACATTGGCCTGCATGATGTATCACAAGGTCATTCAGTTCAGTTTCCTCAGGGATCTCTGCCTGCACGCTCTATCACAAGGTCATTCAGCTCAGTTTACTGAAGGGTCAAAATGTTGGGAAATGGGGATCATCCGGGGTCAGAGCCCTAAGCATCCGAATAGAAAGATCATTATTACAGTACAACTGAGATGTGATCCACAGGCCACTTGCTGGGCCTCTGCGAGCTAGATATGGCCCGCTTGCTGCAGGTTGAATAACACTGCTGTTTCGCTTGTACACACATGTATAATGGCCATAGCCTTGTTCTGCCCCCTGCTTAGATTCTACTATCGCCTGGTCTATGAGCTCAGTATAAGTAAGGTTTTGATCACAGTGTATCATCTGCGTTCTTTACACAACTCGGAACACAATCTTATAGTTTGTATGCATACCGTTCGTTCTTCAGACAGAAGCTCTCTTACTTCAATAGGCTGTTACGACATGCTTGTGAGGGATGCCGTGTTCTATTCTTGTTTTCTCCTCAAAGAGATCTCAGAACCCACACTGGGAGCATAACTAACAATAAGCGTCTTCTGATCCATCACAAGATACTTTAACCCATGCAAAAGTCTTTCCCCAATTACTCTTGTATTTACGACTGTTGTTACATGATTGTTTCCATTTTCTGTTGTCGTCATATTTAAAGAGTTCCTGCCAAATTCAACACATACATACATGCACGCACTCACACACACACACACACACACATTTCTGGGAGGGGGCGGGGCTGGTGAGGGTGGGAGTAAACAATACCAAACAAAAATAAGTTTAAAAAAAAAGAAAACTAATCTATGTTTATTTACCCATCTGCACTTTGAATTACACACATTGTTAGAGAGAATGAAAGTTTAGTACGGAAATAGTCAAACGTTTTAGAAAAAAGCCCTAAACATTTTTTTTAGGGCGACCACTTAAAAATGGGCTAAATTTTTCGAATCCGGTAATCCCATGAGGAATAGTCTATCAGTATAATCACCACCCATCGCTGCACATGTTCACTGACCAGAACATACCCCATGCTTGTTTTGTAGAGGAAACAAATTGTCAGTTCAGTTGTTTAGGGGTACAACAGTTAGTAGTCCGACAAAGATCACAAAAATTCGCCTCTTTGAGAAAAACAGCAGCACCAGTGCTATTGTAAATTAAATAATCAAAAAGACATGGGAAAATGTGGAGTTGAAAATCTACCCAAAGTGTTTCAGGATCCTCGCTGGTGTAATGGAGTTCGTGCACTGCTCTGAGAATCTTCAGATTCAGGCTTGAGTTTGAAGTAGAACGGAGCACTAATGGGTTACACCCGTGTGTCATTATGTTGATCCGTCGAAAAAAATATAAACATAAACCTCAAGACATGGACAATCTAAGACAACAAATTAGCTTTGGCCAGTACAGTATTTTATCAAGATTTGTGTTCAAGTGTGAGGGCATGAAATTAGAAAACGCCCTGTGTTCGTGAACCAACCGTTTACAAAGTAAATCTTCTGCTTCTTCTCGTTCACCAGCTGTAAACTCTGGCGGAAAGTTCTTTTTGTTTAACCACTTTTAGACTGCACATTCCTGTTCCGGATTCTGAGACGTGTGTATCTGTTTTACATATCTAAGTTATTTGTATGCAGACTGCTGGTTCCTTGCCGCTCATGTAGATGCACTCCGACTTCGAAGGAATTAGTCGACACTTACAACATGCTTTTGGGTAGGCAGTGGATCTATTCCTATGTTCCCTATAATAGGGCCCCAGAACCCACACTGATAACAAATTAGGTGTAAACAATAAACTTACAACTTCATCAAATAAAATGCTTCCTGTTTGTTCATGTAGTGTTCTAATAAACGTCATTACCACTTACACGAAACAAATGCAATCATTTCAGGTTACTCGCGATCAGTTCCAAATGAACGATGCAACATTGCGTATCAATGCCCGGACACCAGCTACAGACCAGTGTGTGGGAATGATACTGTGACCTATCACAATGATTGCTACATGGTGGCGGCTACCTGCTCTCGAGTGGCGGTTCTTTACCCCGGCAAGTGTATTGGACCAGACACCCCTCCTGCTTGTCGGCAAATCCCAGCTTGTAATTCCATTGACCAGCCAGTCTGTGGAAGCAACGGGGTCACCTATGATAACGATTGTTACTTCAGGGCACAGACGTGTGGAACAGGCATCACAATTATACATAGTGGGAGATGCTTAGCACCCACCCCTCGTCCTCCTTGCGACTCTAACAGAGCCTGTAATTTGCTTTATGACCCAGTGTGTGGAAGTAACGGCGTCACCTATGGTAATCAGTGTTTCTTTGAAGGAGAAACGTGTGGAACAGAAATCAGGATTGCACACAGAGGGAGATGCACTACAACCCCCACTCCTGATGTCTGAACCTGAAGCAGTACAGAGTGTCTTCGGAACTACCCACACAAGTGTGTAGGTGGCATTATCAATAATAATCTTTTCATTCTTCGGTCATTGCCATGTATTACACTTGTAGGACTTGTAATGTAATATTCGTAGTAGCAGCAGCAACAGCAGTAGTAGTAGTAGTAGTATAAGTAGTATTAGTAATATGTGTTATAGAAGTGTTATTGATGATACCTGTTCAATCCTTGTAGGTTATATTTTATATAATCGTTGTCTCTTCTGGTGTAGGATATTTAGATTTGTCCATTAATTCTAGCTATTTCATTCTACATATATTATTTCTTTATATTAACAGATCCTCTCTTCTTTTTCTTCTTCTGCTTCTTTACTTTTACCAGCTGTAAACTCCAGTTCTGGTTGCTCGTTCACTTCTGGATTTTGGTCCTGTGCCGGGACTTGGGCATTGCTTGCACATCTGTCTTATAGATCTGGCTTATTTGCTTGCATACTTTTGGTTCCTTACATCTCAAGCATAGGCACTACGACTTGAAAAGTAAATTTAACAGATCCTACAATGATAGATTATAAGAACTTTAGTATTACTTAGTTTGATGAAGTTAATCAACGACCACACAACTTATTATATAATGTGAAGACTTCTTTGCTGACTAAAAAAAAAAAAAAAACTGGTAATTTACATCTCACATGTATGCCGACTTCTCATAGACGAAAACTTTCATTTGTCGATGGAGTCAATTATAGCTGCATCATATGTATCAATCTAGAATACATTTAATGCTAGGAGAAAGTTATTCATTCATACTTTTGGATTTAGTTTTTTTTACAAGCAGATGTGAGAAACGAACATTATAAAATGAACTGATGGTTTAAATGCAAATAAACTAGTCGTTTCAGGTGAAAATTCCAGATTCTTTGTTTTATATTGCTTTTTCGTGTGTACGTGTGTGTGTGTGTTTGTAAAGCCTGTTTATATATTATACTGTTGAATGCTTACAGCCATAAAGTTCTTTATTGCTTGGTCGAGGTGGTATTACTCCTGCTTCAACTCTTTTAACTACGGGGAAACGACGGAAAATGCGATGGTACGGACATGTTATAAGATCGAACGTCCTCTCAAAACAACACTACAGAGCTCACTATAGTGGAAGAGAAGAGCAACAAAAGCAACAACAACAAAACTGTAAATAGAACGTGACTGACTGGATATGCAACCATAAAGTCCATTGCATCTGACCGTCAAATGTGAGGGAGCTGATCAGACAAGGCCGTCTGTAACTGAAGGGTCGTGGGGCTGATGACGTCAGCTTGATGTGACGTCACCACCCCGGGCTAAAGATGCGATCGATTTCACGCTGATAGTCCCGTCTTTTCGGTGTGTTACCGGCTAAACTCCCTACACCAAATTCTAGGAATAAGCTCGAGAATAGAACATGTTTAGAGTTATATACACACATACTTACTAAAAGCGAACGCTAGAGAAATATATTTTACAATTAAATAATTAATTAGAGTGGCTTATACAGTTGATAGGCTTATGTATTCTCTTCTTTTTAAAATGTATTAGTTTTTTAATGAAAAAAAAATGAAAATCAATTCTAGATGTGGATAGGAGCGGGAGGTGGCCGGGGGGGGGGGGGTGTGTGGCTGACTTGCTCAAGATGTCTAATTTTCAGCTAAAGATAGACAAAATAACAAAAGAAACAGACAGTAAAACAGAAACTATTTATATTTTAGCTGGTGAATATCCACCTAATTCAATGATAATTAGTGAGTGCACTTAGTCATCTACTGGCTGTACTACTGACATTATCCACTCAGCCAATACTGTGTATCTGGTGTACTACTGACATCTTCCACTAAGCCAAGACTGTGTATCTGATGTACTGCTGACATCATCCACTGAGCCAAGACTGTGTATCTGGTGTACTAGTGACATCATCCACTGAGCCAAGACTGTGTATCTGGTGTACTGCTGACATCATCCACTGAGCGAAGACTGTGTATCTATTGTACTACTGACATTTTTTACTGAGCCAAGACTGTGTATCTGGTGTACTACTGACATCATCCACTGAGCCAAGACTGTGTATCTGGTGTACTACTGACATTATCTTTATTTTTTTTTTTCATTGTTTAAGCCTGTTTATATTTAGAATTGCTCAATGTTTAAAGCCACAAAGTTATTTATTGCTTGAATACAGTCGTACCATTTGTCATTCAACTCTTTTAGCTACAGTGAAAAGACGGGAAATACAATGGTAAGGAACTGTTATACAATCTAACGGGCCCTCAAAATCAATACTACAGGGCGCAGTATAGGGGAAGAGAAGAAGAAGAAGAAGAAGAAGAAGAAGAAGAAGAAGAAGAAGAAGAAGAGAGAGAGAGAGAGAGAGAGAGAGAGAGAGAGAGAGAGAGAGAGACCAAGAAAGATCTGGATATAGAACTTAACAACTGAACAGATCAAAGGCATTCCGCCAAGAAGTCTATAGCATCTGACATTATGAATTAGTTGTTGGTATTTACAACAACAACAACAACCACAAAAATTCACACTGGAAATTTACTTTGAATACACAGATGATGGCATGGGGCCGAAACCATAAAATGTGAAAATCTGAGGGGAAAATATAATTGGTCCGTTTCAGAATTTGTGTCCAACTTTAAGAAGATAATTTATACCAATATAAATGCACTTGTTCCCGGTTATATCAGTCCTCCCAAACCTGCTTCATAGAACTGCTAGCTCGGTTTTCTAAACCACACTTTCACTTCACATCTTCCCCCTTCACCCCCCCCCCCCCCACCCCTACCCCCCACCCCCAGAATGGGTTTTCAGTGGACCAAAAAAGTGGAAATCGCTAGGGGCTGTCTAGGCAGGATGGTTAATTTTCCCCTGAGTTAATTGAGATGTGTCATTAAGAAGCAGTACTCCTCTGGCCAGCAGGTCTGGACGTTTTCTTCAAAATGCATCACCAAGCATCGATAGAACTTTACAGTATGAATCAGCATTCACATTGTCACCTTTTTTTTTCAAAATTAGTTAAAAGCACTCCTTGACAATCCCAGAACACTGTCAGCACAAACTTCTCTGCTGATGCGGTAACCTTGACCTTTTTTTACACAAGGCGAAGAAGAATGTTTCCACTGCACGATTTGATTCGGGCTGATGCACCCTTGATTCGTCCTCAGTAATAATCCTTTTCCGTTTGTCTTCTCCTTCATCTGCGTATCTACAGAAATGTTGCAAAGTCAGGCCTCATCGGTTCATTTTGTGTTCGTCCGTTAATTGTCTGGGTACGAAACTTAAGGACACTTTTTGTTTTTTAATTGATCATGCTTTAAGTTGTATGCTGAACCAAGTTAGTACCCTAATACAGCTGCTACAGATTCAGCTGTTACTCATCTCCTCCAACCGCTGCAGGGATGCGTCTGCTGCAATCTCAAAAGGACGACTATAACCGACTTTATCAATTTTAGAGTGTCCTTGGGAAGAAAAAAAATTCCCAGCTTTGCAACGCTTTACGAGATAAACAGTTGTCAGCAGAAACAGGAAGCATTTCCTTATGAATGTCTTTTGCAGGCAGCCCTTTTGCCCAGACAAACCGCACAACAGCAGGTTGTTCTTTGAGAGTGTACTCCATAAGCACAGTCGCCATTTTGTTTATGTGTTGCGAATGCGCATGCAATACCTAGAAACCTAACGAAAGGAGACATGAAGTTCACTGTTGCTCTCACCTAATGACACCTTTAGAAAACATCAACTACATGTTCCTGCCCCACGATAACCATTTGGGATTCACTTATTGACCTATAGACCCCCTTGTTATATAATACTTATGACCTCATAATTTAAAAACACACACACACACAAATTCCGTGTGTGGTTGGAGAGGCAAACTTACTAATTTGGTGACAGAGGACAGATGGTGAGTCTATAGACATTTAAAATAACAATTTATGTTTGACCTTTTGCATATTGTGAAGTGACACATAACAGCTATGTAGTTTAGTGAAAATCGTCGAAACTGCAACTAGGTGACTGGCGTAGAGATAACGGTAGTTATCACGAATGACTGACTTTCAACCCTACCAGGACCAGGCAACGAGCTATTGAAACTCCATTCCTCTTCCTTGACACAAAGTGTCACCATTTAGATAAGAATCCCCCAGGAGCAAAAGTCCAAGAAACCCTATTAAATCGTTACGATATATTAGGGCTGCCAACGACTTTATAGTGGGGCTTTAAAATGACAAACAGGGACAAAGATTGCAATAATTTAATTGACTGCTACTGGGAAGAAACCGGGTGAATGCCTCAACAACTACTTACATAATATACAGAATATTATATTCGTCAAACGCTACACAACACAGAAGGACTACTATAACCAAACTAAACGCATTATCACAATCTATGGGTTGCTACAACATCACTATCACACACTAGAATTCTAAATCATTGCACTATCAGATGTCTCCTCCCTCAAGTCCACAAGTCCACTCTCCTCTGTCCGATCTCACTCGTGTTTTTTGTCACCGTCCCACATCTCGGTCCAATCCATGCAGGACTCGGGAATATGCAGGCGAAGCATTCACTAAGTCACGATTTAATGCTGTCGTGAAATCATCTACCTGAACTGTGGGTCAACTTTCGGTCATCCAAGTACAAACACGGTGCAATGACTCTATTCTTTTTTTCACTCTGGCTCCAGTCACTTGCAGACTTCTCTTTCACGCACCGACATCAACACCACGAGTAAAAATGGACGACAGTGAACGATACAATGCGGTTTCACCCTTTATTCTCCAATCGCTGTTTCTTCAGCCGGTGCATGGTGAAAAACATGTCTGGGTACTGAAATCTATCCTAAGATGTATTTATAACAAGCAACTTTACGTTCGCTCCTGGAAAAACACATCCAACCATTCCACAATAATAATTTAGCACAAACAACTATTCTTCATGACGGCAACGAACTCAGTTGGCAGACGATTTCCTG